GCCCAGGGTTTCTTTCAACCTTGCATTCAGGCTGCTGGCCTGGTTTCCTCAGCATCTTATCTGCAGGAAGTCATTCTTCTCCATGACTTTCCCAATGCAGTCCTCCTGTCTTTCTATCTCTCCATGGTCATGCCTTGTTGCTAGAGCTAGATAGCTAGAACTGTGTCCTCTAACCCTTGGCTGAATCATCAAATCGCTTTCCATTAAGACAGTAGAAATTAGCAAGGGAAATAGTGGGGTCTTTGCATGCAACTAGAACGTGGAATGCAAAGCACAGATTCGTGAAGCACAGGATGTGCTGATGAGTCACTTAATGTCTAACAACATACAAATTAGTATTTTGATATTTTGCTTGTCGTAGCTTGGCCTATCAGACTTAACCACAGGCTAGTTAAATGACAGGAAGTCAATTCAAATGACGAGTTAGTTCATGATGTAAGGTAAATTGTCGTTTTGCTTCTCTGTGTCCTGTTTACCTGCTCTGAAAGATCAAAGTACGGACCTACTTCATAGGGGTGTCGTTGAATTAATTTTTGAAGATGCTCTGAAAACTCCCAAGCCTTTCTCAAACACAAAGGACTAGGACGTCTTCCTTGGGAGCTATGTTACTGAAAGGCAACAGGGTTTTTAAAAAATCTTTAAACTGTAGTAAATCTAGAGGAGAAAATAATGATTCATTTCCTTCCCTTAGTGTTACAGTATTTCCTACTGATGTGTCCTCATGCTGTCATGCTAAAGAAATTGATAAAAGTATGAAACTTCACATCAAACAGGAACAATTTCAAAGTTAATCATTGATGGAAGGGACTTCCAGGGAACAAGTACTCAGGTGGCCCAATTTACCCTTTAGATTTATTTATTTATTTTTAAAGATTTATTTTATTTATTTGAAAGACAAAGTTACAGAGAGAGGTAGAGAGGTCTTCCATCCGCTGGTTCATTCCCCAATTGGCCGCAACGGTTAGAGCTGTGCTGATCCAAAGCTAGGAGCCAGGAGCTTCTTCTAAGTTGGGTGCAGGGACCCAAGAACTTGGGCCATCTTCTACTGCTATCCTAGGCCACAGCAGAGAGCTGGATTGGAAGAGGAGCAGCTAGGACTAGAACCAGTGCCCATACGGGATGCTGGCGCTTCAGGCCAGGGCTTTAACCTGCTGCCACAGCGCCAGCCCCACCCTTTAGATTTATTGATATGTTTATTTTCATTTTATTTGAAAGGCAGCAAAACAGAGAAAGAGAAAAGAGAGAGAGATCTTCCATCCACTGGTTCACTCACTGAGTGGGTGCATCAGCTGGAGCTGTGCCAGGCTGAAGCCAGGAACCAGGAACACAATTTGTGTCTCCCACATGGCTAGTAGGGACCCAAAGTACTCTGAGCCATCTTCTGCTGCCTCCCAGAGTGCACATTAGCAGGAAGCTTGAATTGCAAGTGAAGAGCCAGGACACATATCAGTCACTCTATTATGGGTTGTAGGTGTCCCAAGAGGTGACTTAACTACTACGTCACACACTCACTCCATTCTTTAAATTTAAATGCAGATGATGATGAGATGATGATGATGCTAGGAGACATCTAATTAGCAAAAACTGTGTTCTGAAGCTATTCCAAGTCTTTTTCCATGTGTTAACTTTTCAAATTCTCTAGACAACTTTTATTGCTCTCCCTGTCTGATAGATAAGAAAACAGGGGCACAGAGAGTTTGGTGTTGTGGCCAAGGCCCCTCGGCAACCATGGTGGGTCATGTCCACCGTATTCCTGAGCACTCTTGCAGCACTCAACTCTGAGATGAGAACAGTACTGCAAGGTCCTGCAAAACTTCTGCTCTGCAGCCAGGTTAATACAAGATCAAAGTGAACTACAGAGAAAAAATTAACCTGAATCCAGTGTTTTCCTAAAAACTGTTATCAACAGTACCCTGTTGACCCATTTATTTCCTAATCCAGCTTCCCTCAAGATTACAAGAGATTTCTGATGCTTTGTCAGGAACAATTGTGGAAGTGACTTTTTGGGGGTGCACAGTGTAGTGGAAACTTTGGCCCACATTTGATGTCGATTCCTAGAATTGAGACCGAGATAAATGCTGCCACAGGTCCACCTGACTGACCACAGCAGTCCCCTTGTTTCTTCTTTGCCCGTGTTGGGATATGACAGTAAACAACAAAACTCACTAGAATGATCCCCAATATTTACTGCTCTCTCAACACCTGTAACACAAACCCTCCTGTAGCATATTTTTAGCATTCTCAAACACATTGGTGATCTACACATTAATCAATATTGATAGTGCTTCATTGTTTCCCCTACAGAATTCATTCTGAGGGACTCATCATTCTATAGCATTAAAGGAAAGCTGATATAGATCAGAACTCAAGTAATTATAACTGTGCTGTGTGAGCACTATAATTTGTTAGACTGATTGGAAAAGATGAAATTATGAAAGAACACTTACATCTACTAAAGTGGGTCTGTCCTATTATTTTTATTTGCATGGAATGTTAGACTTTTAAAAAATGGTATATTGGGGCCGGCGCTGTGGCATAGCAGGTGGAGCTGCCACCTGTAGTGCCAGCATCCCATATGGGCACCGGTTCTGATCCAGCTCTCTGCTCTGGCCTGGGAAAGCAGTAAAAGATGGCCAAGTCCTTGGGCCCCTGCACCCATGTGGGAGACCCAGAAGAAGCTCCTGGCTCCTGGTTTCAGATCAGCACAGCTCCGGCCATTGTGGCCAATTGGGGAGTGAACTAGCGGGTGGAAGACCTCTCTCTCTCTCTCTGTCTCTCCTTCTCCGTGTAACTGACTTTCAAATAAATCAATAAATCTTTTAAAAAAAATGGTGCATTTATTTTATTTGAAAGGCAGAGAGAGAGAGAGAGAGAGAGATCAATCTTCTATTAGCTGGTTCATTCCCAAAAGCCTAGAGCTGTGCCGGCCTAAAGTTAGGAGCTGGGAACTCCATCAGGATCTCCCACATGGATAGCAGGAGCCCAGGTAGTGGGTCATCACTTGCTGCTTCACAGGTGCATTAGCAGGGAGCTGGATCAGAGGTGGAGGCAGGCACTCTAAGATGGGGCTGTGAGTCCCAAGTGGTGCCTTAACCTGTTGTGCCACCCTGGGGACCTGTATCAGATTTTTATCCATCAAGTGACAGACTCCTTATAGGAAAGTGATGAAAACATGCCTAGCACTGGTCTCCTCTAGACATCTGAAACTCAAAGCCCCCTGCTGTGGTTCCTTTCTTCCTGGAAGACTCCCCACTCCATCCTTTAACAACAGTCACTTTAACAGTGACTAAGTCATTGGTTAAGTTGTTTTGTTTTTGTTTTTGTTTTTTTTTTCAGGATTTGCCACCAAGCAGCCTTGAATCGCTTTCAGCCAAGCATGCGCAAAAACGAGAACCAGCCCTACAGATGACTCCAGAACCAGAGTTGTGTCCCCCACGGAACCAGAAATTGGAGAATGGGTGGAAGTAGAAGAACTGCCAGCTTCAGGAAGCAAGGGGAATGAATATGACAACATCTACTCACTGCTCTCGTCTTCACCCAGATCCACACAGGGTCCCACCGCCCTCAGAAAGTGCCCCAGCCTTGTGGCCAAGACCCTGCTTCTTTTTTTGGTTCACCCCATAAGATTTTCCCCAGCCCCTCACTTGGGGAGACAGATTTGGATTTTAGCCCTGTCTCTGAGATGGCCAGCCGCATGTATAAAGCCTTTCTTGTCCCAAAAGACCAGTGACAAAGATAATTTTAGTAGTAAACCTGTCTTGCAGGTTAAAAACGCTTCACTAAGCATTTGATTTGTATGATCTCAGCAAACACTCCTCAAAAAAAAAAAAAAAAAATCCATGGTGCAGGGCGGGGTGGGGGGGCAGGGGGCGGGGCTGGAGCTGTGGTTTAGTGGACAAGGCTTCTGCTTGGGATGCCAGCATCCCATATGGGCTCCAGTTCATGACCCGGCTGCTCCTTTTCCAATCCAGCTTTCTGCTTATGGCCTGGGTAAAGCAGTAGAAGATGGCCCAAGTCCTTGGGCCTCTGTACCAGCATGGGAGACCTGGAAGAAGCTCCAGGCTCCTGGCTTCTGAACAGCTCAGCTTTGGCCATTGTGGCCACTGGGGACTGAACCAATGTGGATAAAAGACCTCTCTCTCTCTCTCTCTCTCTCCCTGTCTCTCAATCTCTCTGTCTATAACTCTACCTCTCAAATAAATAAGTCTTTAAAAAAAATCCATGACCCATATCTTCTCTACCCCCCACACATAGGGAGGGGTCTTCAAGAAGTTCATGGAAAACTCCACATTATCTCTTTTTTTGTAATTTTATTTAAGTTATACAAGTTTCAGGTATGTCATATATATAGATTTAGGAACATAGTGATATTTCCCCACCCCCAACTTCCCTCCCACTTGTACATTATCTTTTAATCCTATTTTCCAAGAACTCTTGGAAGTAGCTCCATCTACTTACTGTGTGTACTAATAGATGGCAAATGTATGTGTACATTTACCTTACTTCCCCACTATATAAAGAGCTGTCTCATTGAAATGATTTTATGAAGGCTGTAAAAGTTCTTCTGGCTTCCCTACCTCGACATGCACTACTCCCATTTGTCATTTGTTTCCTATAGAAAGAATCTTTGTTCTCTAAGTGTTTGCTTATTTCTCCCAGTGAGTTCTATCAGGAAAAACGGACCTGACATTCAGCAGACTTCTCCAGGAGTCAAAAATTACTAGATCGAACAATTAGGAGAGATTAGAGGAGGGGGAAGGGGATTTGGGAGCTCAGGATCTTTATCAGTACAAACAGCAGCAGGGTCAACAAACAGAGAAAATTAAAAACATTTTTAACAACAGAAACAATATTATTAAGATACATAAGTAAAAATAAATTGAATTCTTTTTTTTTTTAAACTTTTATTTAATGCATATAATTTTCCAAAGTACGACTTATGGATTACAATGGCTTCCCCCCCATACCGTCCCTCCCACCCACAACCCTCCCCTTTCCCACTCCCTCTCCCCTTCCATTCACATCAAGATTCATTTTCGATTATCTTAATATACAGAAGATCAGCTTAGTATACATTAAGTATGGATTTCAACAGTTTGCTCCCACACAGAAACATAAAGTGAAAAATTATAGATGATTTTTTTAAATGATGATGAAATCAGAGCAGACCTATTGTCATGTTTAATCCCAGTGAGAGTCAAGTTGGGAATTGATAATTTCTTTTTTTTTTTTTTTTTTTTTACAGAGGATCAGTTTAGTATGCATTAAGTAAGGATTTCAACAGTTTGCACCCCCATAGAAACACAAAGTGAAATATACTGTTTGAGTACTCGTTATAGCATTAAATCTCAATGTACAGCACATTAAGGATAGAGATCCTACATGAGGAGTAAGTGCACAGTGGGTTGGAATCTTAACGCTGGCTAAAGGCTATCGCCATTTCATACAAAGGGAACTGGAGAGGTCTGGAACCACTTGAAGTCACACAGGTGGCAGAGCTGGGGATCAGCTGCGGTCTGTCTGATTCCAAAGCCCACCATTTTTGTTCTCCTGCAGGGCTACCTGGACCCACCGTGCTCTTATCCTGCTGCCATCTGAGATGAGCTGACTTTATTGAGCCGAAATCAAGATTTTCCTCACATCTCTTGGGATTCATAGCTAGGAGGAGTGGAGGTAGGAAGAAAAGCCGAGAAGCGCCGAGACACAGAAGCAGCCCATGTGACCAGTGACTAAGTCTGTGGACTCTGGAGCCTCATGTTTTGGAGTTCAAATTGCAACTTTCTCACTGACTGTTGACTTGGACGAATTACTTAAACACTCTGTGCATAGGTTTCCCTATCTGCAGTAAGGAAGCCGTAATAATGCCTCCTCCTTTGTGGAGCTGTTTAGCAATATGAAGTCACAAATATTACAAAGCATGTGGAATAATGCCTTCCACACAGCAAGTGTTCAGCTCGCGGTTGAAGATATTTCAACATACATGGCGAGACACTAGTGTTGTGGTTGGACAGCAGGGCGGAAAGCAGCAAGAGAGCAAATTAATTAAAATCCTCAAAAATAGAGAAAAATGGCTTAGTGAAAGAGAGAAGAAAGAGGGTGGACACACACATACTGGCCAACGAGTCGACTGAACGTATAAGGAGCAAATGGCAAGCAGTCAGTGGAGGAATGAGCTGGGGCAGCCCAGAAAGGTCTAGGGAGTGAGTCTCCTTTTTTTCCAGCAGAAGCAGTGCCAGGTGAGACTTTGCAGAGGAAGCTGTGCAGTGCAATGACACCTGGCAAGAGCTGGGAGGAGATGGGGGGAAGCTATGGAAACAGAATTAAACACAAGTCTGCCTTCAAGGGGGTCTGGGCCTTGGGGGGCTCCCAAAAGAAGAATAGGAATGGCAGAAAGGAATGTTGAAAGAGCATTTTGTGGAAGAAAAGGATGATAGTGCATTTCTCCTGGGAAAGTGGGTGGGGAGAGCAAGAATGAAGAAGTACTGGAGTAGAGGAAAGAAGTAAGATGTTATACGAGGCAGAAAAGTCGATGACCTAGTATTTCCATGTAGCAAATGACAGAAAGACGAACCAGGTATGTGGCCAGGGTGGAAAAATAAGGGTGGCCAGGTGACAAACATACAACACAGGATCCTGCAGGAAAAGTGTTAGAAATCACTCACCAGTGAACTCTCATCTCACCAATGCTCTCTGACCCTGAACAGCCAAACTCTTCTCATGGCACACACACAGAGTCAAAGCTTGTCTCTCACTGAGAATGAGTGAGCTGTCTTGAAATCCCTTTCACACTTGGGGTGAGGTGGGAGTGAGCTGTTTGCAAGGTATTAAGCTGCCTAGGTTGTGTTATGGCTACTCCGTGCATTTCAGAAGTTCTGACAAGGATATGCTTCTTAGGGTAACCTAGTTAAGGAAGTGGGGTATCAGCCTCCCAGACCTTACAACAATTATCTGGCACATCTAACTCAGAATAGTTCAATTACATTTTGACAGTGATCCGAGGGTGCAGCAGAAGCCCCCAGTACAAGGGAATGTAAGTGTGGGTATCCAGGAAGAGTGAAGCAGGAAGGAAAACAGGTTATCATTGCAAGCATTGGGTTGGATATATTTCTACTCTAGGAATTTATGACATAGGACATTTTTAACCTGGCCCTTTGTTTTTGGAGCTTTTGCATATGTTAATATGTTAAGTATATTTTCCTTGAGACTGTTTCTATAAACACTGTCAATAATTACTAGCTTATTTTGTTTCTGATTGTCTTGTATGCTTCTCATACTCCACCCCCCCCCCCTTTTTTTGTAGCACTTTCCAATCTCCAGAGAAACGGACTGTAGAAAAAGGATTGAATGGACTCTACAGTAAATGTCTCGTGAGCACCTGTTAAATATGCCAGACTTTAAATTCTCAAGACTAATATAATCATTTTCATTTTACACGTTGAATCAAATTCAAATTTCAACTCTAGGTGGCAGTTTACTCCATCACTTACTTGGGTTCTGTTAACAAGCAGTAGATTCATTCACAGTTTTTCCATGAATGCATAATTTTGTGTAAAATTTAGTCCCTGGCTCTTGGTATCTGTTAAAAATAGATTTGATTTTAGGAATAAAATCATGGCTTGAGATGCAGGTTTCCCATATATCATGCCATTCTTGATTTCACTAAGTCGATAGCAAAAAAGAATAAAGATGTACATTTTAACCAACTTTTTAAGAACGAATATAATCCTCTTAATCATGGCAAAAGTTACGACAAGGCTGTGTTTCTATCATGAAGAATAAAATTTAGCATGAATAATTTTCCCATGAATATACTAATTTTCAGAAGTAACACCTATATCCAAAACTCTAGGTTTTCTGAGATTGTTTCAGGGTGTTGATTTAACTGAAGGAAGATTGTCCTGTAAGAAAGGAAAATGACTCGTTCTATGTTTCTTTGCAGTTCATTGATGAGAATTGCCAAAGTCAAAGCATAATTAGGTTGCCAAGGTCCCAAATACACATGCTGTCCATCAAAAGCAATGCCTCCCCCAACCACTTAACCCCACATACACACAGATGTGTGTGTGTGTTGTTGTTGTTGTAAGAGTTCCAACAACAGGACACACACAACTCCTGGGCAATCATCAAGTCATAAACCTATTACACTGCACGTTTCTTTCATTTTTTTTCAGCCCTAGATGGAGAAAAAGATGGATTTAAACTTTATCCTAAAGTTAGGTTTTCTTTAAAACGCAGATGATAACCACCTACTTCTCCATATTGTTGTGAGCATGATATAAGATTAGGTTTGCGCACATTGATCAAGGCCTGGCCTTCTGGGGTCAGTGATTCTCAGTCTCATTAGTCATTTTTTATTAATAAGGGATTTCCACTGGAATCTCAAAGGGACTGGTCAATATGACAATCTCACGAGGAGCTTTTCTTAAGGAGTTGCTGGCCTTCGGCTCCCTTGAACCTATGCCTGGCTCCGTACACTCCTATGTGTAAAAGGAACACAGGAAAAGCCATATGGCATGGGCGTAGGGGGGTGAGGATATTAGTCACCAGAGTGTGAAAATTAACAGTTTCCAAAATGTGTCTAATTGTTTATGAAAACGAATACAAAACTATTTTTGTCAAAACTTGGAATGGCTTCTGCATTTCTCCCTGATATATGTGTGTTATGTGTATTTATATAGACGTGTGTGTGTGCATATATTCATGCACATATATATTTATAACGTGTGGTTTGAGAGTGAGATACACATTTTAATATCATCATCACCATCTGCACTATCATTTTATTGAATGATATTCTTCAGGGTTTGTATAGAAATCAAAGGTACCGATCCCAATAAGAGAATATCATCTCTTGGTTTAATCAAGTTCCATTCATTAATTACTCACACTAAATAGGTCTAAATAAAAATATCCTCTGTGTTACAAGGGAAGTGACCTCACGGCACAGCTTCTGAACTGGCATGCCTCAGAGGGAACAGGTGAAAGGTGAAAGGTCAGCTCATGGATTAATTCTCCCAAGCTTCAGGGCTCCCAGATGAGGCCAGAAGCAGTTGCCAGGGACACCACTTGTCCTCAGCAGTTAGGAGCTTCCTCAGTTTAACCCAAGGTACTGCACAAACATTGTTACTTGGATTCATCCTCTCATGGGTGGCAGAGACCCAGCCACTTGGGCCATCTTCTGCTGCCTTCTCAGGCACACTAGCATGGAGCTTGATCAGAAGCAGAGCAGCCAGGATGTGAACTGTTGCTTCGAAATGAGTTGCGTTGTTGCAGGTGGTGGCTTAGCTCACCACCCCACAATGCTGGCCCCTCTCCTACACTTTTCCTATCTCATTTCCACATGTCCAAATCCTGTGTGATTCTTATACAATTGTCCCTATTTGGCCCTCTTGATTCCTCCAAGCAGAACAAATCCCTTCTCTGTTTGCAGAAATATTTGTTTATGTTTAATTACTTGAAAGGCAGAGTGACAGAGAGGTAGGAAGAAAATGAGAGAGGGATAGAGAGAGCGAGCTTCCACCTGCTGGTTCACTCCCCATATGGCTGCAATAGCCAGATCTGGACCAGGCCAAAGCCAGGAGCCAGGAGCTTCATCTGGGTCTCCCATGTGGGTGTCAGGAACCCAGGTACTTGAGCCATCAACAGGTGCCTCCCAAGTGAATTAGCAGAAATCTGGATACAAGCAAAGGGACTCCATTTCAGACACTCTGACATCGGATGCGGGAGTCCCAAGCTGCAACTTAAAGTACTAAACCACAAAGATCACCACAATTCCTTCCTTTTTGAAGTAATAGCAACACTGCATTTGTCTCTATATATTGCTATTCCTATAGGATTAAGATGAACTACATGTAACTGAAAATTACCAAATTTTCTAAAATAATAGTTGCTTAAACCAGTTTTCTCCTCCATATAAATGAGGTCCATCTCCTGCATTCTTCTATCTTATCACTCTGCCTTCCTTGGAACATGGCTGTAGTCTCATGGTCCAAGATGGTTGCCCAAATTGGAACCTTTACATCTGTAATCCAACCAACACAAAAGTATAGAGTTCAAAGAAGGACATCACCTTTGCACTCTGAGGACCTGTAATCAAAGTCGATATACCACTACCATTTATATCATGTTGGAAGACTGACTCATATATCCAAATCTAGCAACCGAGGCAGCTAAAACACACAACCTTTATTCCACATGGTCATAGGCTTAGATAAAAATATAGGGATTTGGGGCTGGCATTGCGGCATAGTTCGCCAAGCTGCTGCCTCCCATATCAGAGTGCCAGTGACACTGGCCTCCCATATCAGAGTGCCAGGTCAAGTCCCAGCTGCTCCACTTCTGATCCGACTCCCTGCTAATGTGTCTGAGAGAGCAGTGGAGGATGGCCCAAGTGCTTGGGCCCCTGCCACCTACATGAGAAACCAGGATGGAGTTTTAGGCTTGCAGCTTCAGCCTGGTCTAGCCACTGCCATTTGCAAGTATTTAGGCAGTAAACCAGCAGATGGAAGATCTCTCTCTCTCTCTGGCTTTCAAATAAATAAATAAATCTTTTTAAAAAATATAATGATTATATTACTAGGGGATAAAGAGAGGAAGATATAGGGTAATTATTAATCTCTGTTTCATTTATCTGTGAGAAATATAAGCTTTTTAAAGACTCATATTTCATTGAACTTTAATATCCTAGACTCAGAAAGAGTGCCTTGTATATATTGAGTGAATGAATGCATGAACAAGAGAAGGTGTGCGGCTCTTAGTCCTCAGCCCTTTTGTTGTTGACCTTATCACTTCCAGTGACACTCACTATTCAGCTGGAATATATCTGGAGTTGTTCTTATTTTATTATGCTCACTTGACAACACAACATTGAAAACGGAAGTTTAAACATGGGGAAGTGAATTGAAAAGAGATCACTCCAAGTATTTGAACAATGGGAATCTGGAAATCATGCATGCTGGACTTCTGTTAACACTAGATTTTTTTTTTTTTTTTTTTTGATAGGCAGAGTGGACAGTGAGAGAGAGAGACAGAGAGAAAGGTCTTCCTTTTGCCGTTGGTTCACCCTCTAATGGCCGCTGCGGCCGGCGCGCTGCGGCCAGCGCACCGTGCTGATCCGATGGCAGGAGCCAGGAGCCAGGTGCTTTTCCTGGTCTCCCATGGGGTGCAGGGCCCAAATACTTGGGCCATCCTCCACTGCACTTCCCTGGCCACAGCAGAGAGCTGGCCTGGAAGAGGGGCAACCGGGACAGAATCCGGCGCCCCAACCGGGACTAGAACCCGGTGTGCCGGCACCGCTAGGTGGAGGATTAGCCTAGTGAGCTGCGGCGCCGGCCAACACTAGATTTTTAATATCATTATTGGTTTTGTGTTATTGCTCAGATGGCACAGATTTGAAATTTACAAATCTGACTCTGGCTGTTATTTGAAGTCCTGGGATTATCCATTGTCAATTAAAAGAAGAAATGTGGATCACATTTCTTATTTGTTTCTCTCTGGGGTCAGTGCATCTTGTGTCACCTTATCCTTGATAGCTATTTAGATTAGAGGGAAATTTCTAAAATACATCCCTCCCCCACCCCCAACTCCCTTACCCTCACCAATGAAAGATGCTGGGTTTGGAGGAATTAAGACAAAACTCCTTTAAGGTCACACGAACACTACAATTTCTAATATGATTTCCGTAGTTCCATCTAAGACTGTGATTTGGATAGAACAATGGTGAATTTCACTTTCTGGTTCTCTCCATAGGTTGTTGCTTAAGCCTCCAGAACTTCTGTTGTGTTTCACATGGAAGGTTAAAGCATTTCCTTAACAATGCACACATGCATTATTGGAAGGCTGGCCCTTGCATTTGGGCAAGAACAGGAGAGAGGAAGGGGAGTGGAAACAAAATATTATAGGATTTTAATAATAAGTTGTGTCTATCTCTGATATTTTCTCAATAATGACTACAATCTCCTAATTTTCTTTTATGTCCTTTTATGTGTTTTTCACCACAATCTAAGTTATCAATAAAACTTAGATTTTATTAGATTTTTTTTGAAGCTCAGAAATTTAATTATCTACGCCCTGGTTCGGAACATTCAAAATTGAACCCACCCATTCATTCAGCAAGTGAATGTGGAAGTCATGATGCTGATGACTAACATCAACACCTGAAGTGAGCAGTGTGCACCAGTGAATGCCTTATCAGGTTGGCTCCTAAAGACATTGATGAGCACTGGGTTCGCTCTCCTCCAGTTTCAGAGGTTGACAAGTGGTGAGCCATCGTGACGAGGTTACTGTGCTGTGTTTAGCCATGTCTGCCTTTCATTTCCAAGGCCCCTTCATAGCCACATGTTGTGGGATTGCAGCCTCAGGATCAAGCTGCAAGAAAGGAGAAGGGGAAGAGGGGCCCAGGTCCTCTGCACCAGTCTCCTGCGCTTGCTGAAACAGTGCGCCATGCATCTGCTGACCCAAAACAACAAAACCGTCTCCTCTCACAGTGTCAGAGGCGAGGAATCCGAATCAGAGTGTGGACAATAAATCAAGGTGTGGACAGGGCCGTGTGCCCTGCGAAGTCTCCATGGGAGAACCTTCCTTTATCTCTCTACCTTCTGTTGGCCGTGGTATGCATAACT